AGGGTAATTTATCCCTCAAAATGTAGAATTTATTTATAATTTATGGCACACCCACTTCCATAGAAGGATTTGAGACAGCAAAATTTGGAGTAAGCATCCAAGAATATTATATCTGGGGTTAGTAGATTCAAGTTCTGAAAGTAATTTAGTGAAAAGTCAAAATAAATAACCTTGTTAAAGATTGTCCCCCTCAAATGTTTAAAGAAAACTGTTCTCTTAGCATTTTTTTTAAAACATCAGTATTCTATATTATTTTCTAAATGAAACAAAGTCTAATTTCCTTAAATTATACTAGAGACAAAAAGTTGAGAAGGCAAAGTAGAAATCCATGATCAAAAATGAAGTTCTAGAAACCATCAGAATTGTATATATTATTTTAATATGAACAGAGTATCGATTTCAATTAATTTCCAGAACAAATCAAAACTCTTGGTCAACATTGTAAGAGTTGATTGGTACCTGGGATCCAGGCCAAGAGTTTCCTGTATTATGTGCCATTACCAATTTTCAAAACTCCAGGATTGGAATCCAGGTATCCATTATTTCAGGAATATCTGGAATTCAAACTTTATAATATCTTCTGAAAAAAGGAAAAATATCTACAGAGCTTCTGGTTCTAGTAGCTGTCGAACTGTTCCAGGCCCTGCTCAAAATATGCATGTTTCAGTGAGCTAAGCAGCTAGAAACTAGGAATGAAAATGTACAAAAGCGCCCCAAACAACGGACTATGGCTGCAAGAGCGCGTTAGAAAAAATGTCAATATTTGGTCTGAATGATTAGTAAAGGTCCCAGCGCCTCATACTCTGATGGATGCCTCTGCCCGCCAGGCAGTGTGGGCTCTGGCTGCTGTCCGGGACTGCAGTTTAAACAAAATTTCCTTCAAAATTCAGTTTGGTTGGGACTTTCCAGTAATGCCCAACATAACTCGACCTGAGACACACTGGCCGACCACTACCACCACTGACTCTGGGGAGAACTGCCTGGAAGCAGGCAGAGGACTCCTGGCCTGACCACCCAGAAGAGTGTGTGGAGAAGAGCAGAATGAATGAATGCAAGAGGAGGTAGGCAAAGGAACGGAGCAGTCAGGGTGTGCCGCGCCCAGGAAAGCTGGTGTTGGCAAGCAGCCACACGTCTTTTTTTTTTTTTTTTTTAAGATTTTATTTATTTATTTGAGAGAGAGAGGATGAGAGATAGAGAGCACGAGAGGGAAGAGGGTCAGAGGTAGAAGCAGACTCCCTGCTGAGCAGGGAGCCCGATGCGGGACTCGATCCCAGGACTCCAGGATCATGACCTGAGCCGAAGGCAGTTGCTTAACCAACTGAGCCACCCAGGAGCCCCACGCATGTCTTCTTGATGGCAGACTACACCACCACCCATGCAGTACTCTTGCCCAAGAATTAAATGAGCATTGGACCAAGCTCTAGACTTAGCTACACTTCACAAGAAATTCAGGAGACAAGAGAACAAAAGAACATGTTCAGTGGCACCACGGGGACACAGTTCCTGAAGTATAGGATAGAGAAAACTCTCGAGGGCAACCCTGTCAACAAGCAAGCTGCATTAATTAAAAAAAAAAAAATTGAGGGGAAATCTACAGATTAAAGCACATATATTGTGTTTGAACAAGCAACTGATTTAAACAAACTGTAAGAGAGCATGAAAGTGTTTCTTGTTTTTAATGGTGTTAAGCTGCTAGACTGTGGAGCAACTACCTACACAGATCCATCCCAGTCCAGGAATCCACGCTGAAACGTGGGACCAAAGTGTGAGATGTAGCAGGAAGAGTGGGTATGGATTCAGACTGGATTGTTCTGGATTGACCACTGGCTAAAGTTGGAAAACCAACTTAGCCTCTCTGTGAAAGACTGGAGCCTTTCAATTTGTAAACTAGAGAGAAAAATGACTAATGCCTAGGATGGCTGTAAGAAATTAAGAGAGAGAATTCACTTATAAGTGCTGAGCACCCTGCCTTTCACAGAATAAAAAGCAAGTTGGCTAGCACCTTTTATTTTGTTTAATCATTATTAGCGGCGCTCATTCTAAAATAGCCTCCCATCCACCACCTCCTCCCCTGCCTGGAAAAAAGAAGGTATCCCAGAGTAGGCTGAATGTACATCTCCTCCTGCTAGAAGGCAGATGGAGAGTAGCTCTACAACAGGCTGCCCCTTCCAGCAGGGTTTGCATCTAGCATCTGTTTCTACCTTTCTCTGTGTCGGGATACACGACACATCGCCTCTCCCAGTGCAGGGAGGCACACGTGAGCCAGAGCACAAACCGGGCGGAAATACACACAGGAGCGAGGAGGCTGACAATACTTCTGGCGTGCTCATAGGCTTTAAAACGGAACAGCAAATGGGGGTGTCCACATGGAATTTCAATGTGAGGGTTTTTCCTCTCCTTGGTCCAACAGCACAAAAGGAGATTGGTTCTGAACTGGCAGGCTTTCTTTCATGTGTCATTATGTTTTACACACAAAGAAATTTTCATGTCTGAAGATGGGAGGTGATGAGAAGCAGGAGGCTACACATGGTTTTTGGCAGCCCAGCCACCTGCACTTAAATTCACTTCTGACAGTGCTCAGGATCTAAAGACCCCTAAGTACTAAACTGTCATCTGCCTATCCAGGAGAGATTTCACTTTGGCAGTATTTCAAAAGTAAAATCACTCACTTTTTTATGCATGTTTTCGCCACCACAATATTTCTCTAAGCCGTGTAAAAGACTGGATCTCGAGAGACATATAAAAAGAGGTTTGTGGTACAGGGTTTTGCTAAAAGGAAAATCGTCTTCGTTTCTGAACCTAGAAGTACAAAAATTCAGTCATCTGCTAAAATCTAGGATTAGGGCAAAATGGGTGATAGCTTTCCCCAAGAGTTTGAGGTTGGGGATTACAAAAGGCAGTTGAATTTGGTAATTTCTGAACTACTTGAACTAACGGTCCTGCTATGACTTGGAAGATGGTCCTGTTATGTAACAGTTGGCGCGCCTCAGCCATACTGCTGCTCCCAGCACGGGCTGACCCAGGGACCGGAGGAAGCACAGAGAGGAGGCACCGTGTGAGGGAGAGCCTGATAGTCAGAACTGGAGGGAAGTCCCAAGGCTGCTCCCAGTCGGCCAAGTGACCCTGCCAGAGTCACTCACTGTCTCTGATCTCAGTTTCCACTGCACTTCTAGTGAGAGACAGGGCCGCGTGGTGGGTGAGCAGAAGGCCTGCAGGGACTACGGCGGAGGCTCTCAGGCCCCCTACCCCCCTGCTTCCCACCTGTGGGCCCTCAGATAACCCACCTTCCCCTTCTAGTCTTGCTCTCCTCATCTGTATAACAGAATAAGAAATAGCAGCAAATCAGAAAATGCACACAAAGGGTTCTCAGTGCATGGCCCATAACAAGCACTGGATAAATGAACTGCTACTGCTCACTGCTATTATTATTATTACTATCCTTCCAAACAACCCCAAAGACAGTAGGTCAAGGAGTCAGCCCTGAGCAATAAAAGTGCTTGCTGGCCCCTGAGATTATAGCTTCTAGTCCGAGGGGAAGTGGGTTTCCAGGGACGACCACTCTCTTCCCAGAGCCCAGAAGAGGGGCTGGGGCTTTGGAGGCACTCACTGAATGTGTGTGAAGTGAATGAGCAAGTGGATAAATGAGCAATGCAGTTATACACAAGCAAGTGTCTTCAAAGCTATTGCTGTACCCTGAACTAACCTTCTCTGGGAGCTCCGGAAGGGGCTGGCAGCCACCAACTGGCAGATGCCGTGGAGAGCACACACACACAACCCTTTACGGGGACGATGCAACTCCACTCAAGACTCTGACTTTGTATTTCAACCTCAAGGACTCAGGCCACTTGCTAAAAGGCTTTAGAGAACAGACTTCCTTGCAGCGTAAAAGAGCAGAGTGAGACACTGAGGCAGACTCAAGAGGGACTGGCCACTGGCCAGCACTGCATACTCAGATCTACATAGTACCTTCTGAATATCTGGTTTAAATGCTTCCCCATACATCCGTCATCTGCGAGAACTATAAAACCAACACTCCCAGCATAGCCTAACCCCGAGACAACCTGTCATTTATCAGCATTCTCCCAAATTCCGTCATTCTGGTGCCACTTCTGAAACTATCTTATCCTTGGCACCACCTGTACTGTTATTAACTTGATCCTCGTGTTTAAATCAATTCACTAAAAAAAAAAAAAAAAAATTAAATGCAGTTATTTTTTGAAATGAAATTTAAACTGCTATGTTAAACGAGAAACCGGTATTGCTTGCCCTCAATATAAGGGAACCATAAAAATAAACACTTGGAAACAAAATGTTGTAATTAAAATGGAGCTAGCCACCATTGCTCTTCCCCAGCTCCGGGTCTGAGGTCTGCTCGCTCTGTTAGAAAGGGAGGTGGCATGTGATGGCATAAACACCTGCCAGCCCCTAGCGAACGCTTCCTCCTTTGGGCATTTTGAAAGACCAAAAGAGAAGGAAAGAAGAATAACTGTCTCACAACGTGGGTCCATGTTTTGGAGCCATGTTCACACATAGCATAAAATTATCACAGACGTGGAAACGGTAAAACCTTCTCATGCTCTGATTCTCAGCCCCCTTGGAGGACTGGATAAGTAAGGCTACTCGTTCCTGGATGCAATTAAAATACGCTTTTCCTTGATTCTGAGATGCACTGCAAAAATGTCAGTAATCAGGATGCATCCCACAGATGCATCCTACAATCAGCTGGCTTTTATTAGCCACTCTTACTAGTGCTTGAATAGTGTCTTTCCTTTTTTATTAGGGGAGCTGTTATTAGATTGATGACACATCTCATAATGAGGGTGACTCAAGAAGTCAAGAAAATATGGTATACCTTAACGGGGCCAACATGAATGAGCCTGCTGTTGGACACCAGGACAACACAACAGCCTCGCATTTGTGTTCTCTCAATTGTGTTCATCTGATAAAGACATTACAATAGCAAGATACTATGATCTATAACCCTCCACTGGAACACTCACAGATTCTTGGCCTTGAATGCTTGAGCAAAATGTTGCACGCTACGGAGCAAAGCGAGGTCCAGGGTCATTGCTTCTACCTTGGCTTTGTGCTGGAATGAGAGAAAATAAAAAGAAATGATAAATAACAGCAAGTTTAGTTCATGGTATCAAGTTACAGTAAATGTGTTATGGAACATGTCGGAATTCCCCTGTTTAATATTAGACGCCCAGAGAGAATATAAATCATCGGAATGAATGGAAGAACAGGGCTTTTACTGCCAAGTTTGGGAGGATGTGAGACTGGGAATCTACTAAAACCACAGGCTGGGGGTTGTGCTGTTTCACTCAGCGCATAGAGAAGGCTCCAAAGGGTCTTCAGGCTCACATATCTCCTCTCAATCTGCGTCCTAAAAAAAAAAAAAAAAAAAAAAATAGGGGAATGCCAGGACAAAGCCTGGCTCTTGCAAGAATTCAGTAGATGATATTTTCATCTCAAAAGTTGCCATCCAGGTTCTGAAATTATTCCATTGAGCCTGTGTCAAAAATTAAAGATGATTCACTTAGAGAAAGTACAAAAGCAGGCAAAATTCATTTATTCCAATGGACCCTGAGCGACCTAGATCCCAGAGAGACCTCTGGTTTCACAACCCAGAAAACCCTACAGATAGGTGGGGCACCCATGGATAATAAGAATGACTACTGTACGTTCAGGGCTGACCGTGGGCTGGGTGCTTACATGCACCATCTTGTTACATCCCCACAACAACTGAATGGGTTCTACTTTCCCTATTTTACATGTGGTCTTTTGTAAGAGATCCCAAAGCTAAGAAGGGTTGGAGGCAAGGATTCACCACGTCAGTCTGACACCAAAGCCCACGTTCCCTCCTTGACAGAAACTAGAAGGCCAGGAGCATCAGGATTTGAAGCAATCATATTCCATTGGACAGTGTCCTAGCACAATTCTGGAAAGATGAGGGTTGCCTTTCATACCTGCCCCATGTTTAGGGGCACTCCCGATTTTTAAGTCTGGCTGGCCTGGAGGGTATGCAATTAAGTACTATCACTTCTTAGACCTATCTCCTCCAAAGCATGTACAGCCAAGAATGCTGGGGCCACCTGCCTGTTCAGGTTAGGAAAGTCCCAGAAAACAAACGGCGAGCCTGGGATTTGCTACGGTGAGGCTGAGACAAATGGTATGAAGAGGGATGCAAACGGCACTGCCGAGCACATCCTCCACCTCAGTAGTCTTATTCAGGGAGAGGCACAAACTGTGCTGAGATGCTTAGGATATCTGTGGCAGTTTGAATTGGCCGCCTCAGTCCTGGACTGGAACCCAGGTCCCAAGCCTTGAACAGTAAGTGTCAGACAGCTGGGAGGCCAACTGACTTGGGGCCATTTAACATTTCTGAGCCTCAGTTCCCTCATTTGTAAAAGGAAAATATTAATTATCTTCTTACAGACTTGAGTGTAAAGCACCTAACATCCAGCCTGGAAGAGAGAAGGTATTTCATAAACTTGACTAGAAGTAGGTAAGATACCTAGTGTGCCAAACTCCTCCAGTCTGCAACAAATGGTGGTTTGGGTGAGCTACAGGGCCGCACGGTGGATGGAATGATATTAATGAAGACCGCATCGGACCAGCGTGCTGTTAGATCCCAGAGGATCCAGGGCATGTCTCCTAACAGAGCGCGGGTTTAGGGAAAGGGGTGTAAGGTGATTAAATGACTACCCCAAACCCCAAAAGGCATATAGGTGGTGAAGGCAAGTTGACCAATGTAGACTGAATTTCCTTGGGTAACAGTGGCAGGTGCACAAATGTGCCAATTTTGGAAGAAGGAGAAGCATTTAACCTGTGCCAGGAAGAGGGGTGAGTGCCAACACATGGGTTTTGTTAGGAGTTTCCTAAGACCAGAGAATAGTAGAGCTGGAGGGTCCATGGTGACTTGAGGTCACACCCCTTGCCCTACAGAGAAAGATACCACCAATGGCAGAAATTAATGCACTTGAGTGAGGTTGTACCGTGTAGAGAGCTTGGGCCTCTAGACCAGGAGAAAAACCCCACTCACGTTCTGTCTGCATGGCTGATAACTGTCCGATGACTCAAATCTCTTTGGCGTACCAAGTCTGTCAATGGCTAACTTTTAGTCCCCATAGATTCTTACACTTCAGAAATGCTTGACTACTCCATTTGACATAAAGAGTTAGCAAATAAAGTGGCCTTTCACCCCCATTCTACGCCTCTGGCCCCAGCCTTACTTCACTTAGAGCATGATCCTCAATGCCACACAGAGAATCTTACAGAACTTTGAATGTATCACAAGAAGAAAGCCAGACACTCAGTTGGGGAGGCGGTGGTGAAGACATCGTTCCTCTCAGCCAAGCCCCTTAGGGAAACCCCATGGGATGTGCAGGCCACATATCATAAAAATGCATATACATATTTCACTAATAAAACAGGAAGAACATTCCCAGATGGTGACCCCAAAGCAACTTCCAAAGAAAATGATGGCTCAGCCAAGTGGGCCAGTACATCCTTCTGTACGTGTGACTTACAACTGGTGAGTTGTCTTTTGGTTCTCCCCCTTCACTTTAAAATAAAGTACAGAGCTGCCACCAGCAATGAGAACAAAATCAGAACATACACATCCGGAGGGAACAAGGGGTCACAAGCCACTGACTAGTTCAACAGACTAATTCACAGGCTGTGGGTTCCTAGGCTCCTGGTGACAGTGATTCAAGTCCACACACTATTACTCAGGTAATTCTCCTGCCCTCGGCATCAGGTTTCCTGTTCCTGCTACTGACCCTGTGAATTGCAGAGAAACTGTGTGCAATCCGGCAAGTTCAGGGAAGAAAAAACACACAGCTTTTAGAATCAGTGTGTATGAGTGTGTGCATGTGCAAGCGTGCTGGGGGGGGGCTGCTCTTCTGTCTCACAAACCTAACAACATGATAGACATGTATATCATGGTATGTGCTTGAAACAGGAACACAGCGGCCAAGGCACTCCCAACAGCACCCATTTCTGAGGGATAAACTGCTGCGTGCTAGGTGGAGGCAAGAGGCTCCGTCCGCCAGTGTGAGCTTTCCTGCCACGTCTGGCCAGGAATCTGGGACTGACCACAATACACTTCCCTGGTTTAACTCATAAACTTTCTGTTGTTGTTAACTTCGATTTGGAACCAGTTACGGACTCACAAGAAGTGGCAAAAACAGCCCCAAGCGTGCCCTGCCTCCCAGCACCAACAATGGGACACCTTACCCAAGTCTCTAGCACATTATCAGAACCAGAAAATTGACAGTGCTGCAAACACAGTTCATTAGACCACAGACATTCCCTGGGCTTTACCAGTTTGGGGATGCACTCAATTTCTTTTATCTGGAATATCTTTGTGTATAAATCTATGACAATTTATTCTATATATAGATTCACATAACAATCACCACATTCAAGATACAGACTGTTCCACCACCACTACAGAACCGGTAGGTTTTTTTAATTAAGAGGTCTTAAATTAGCATTTGCCATCTAGAACATAAGAAGTTTAGGCTTTCTTTGGGCAGGGTTTACTCTTTGGATTGGCAAATCAAACACATATACAAAGTCCCAGCTTAAAACCCCTTCGTAGCTTAGAATGGCCAATAAGACACAGTCCAATTTCCCTAGTATGGCTCACGTAACTGCCTCCATACCAATCAGGAGGATGTGCTTCAGTATCCTTACTGAACAGCTCCCAAACCTCAGTATCTTAAAACAATCAAGGATCAGTGCTCACTCACACTTTGTGCCCATCCCAGGTCGACGCGACCATGTTCATCATGGTTAGCCAGGGACCTCCTGGCAGATGGGGCCTCCACCTTCTGTAACATCACTAGCCTCTACAGTGTGGGGAGGAGAATGTGACAAACTGCACATAGGATGGATCTCAAGGCCTTCACCCAGCAATACAGATGTCACTTCTGCTCAGATTTTGTTGGCAGAGCAAGTCATGTGGTTATGCTTAGCTTCAGAAGGTGCAACCCTCCATGTGCTCAAAACTATATATGTATATGTATATGTGTATTCTATATTTGTATTTCTATACATATAGTGGAAGAAATGGAAATTTGTGTGTGCGTTTGTGTGTGTTAATATACACACACACACACACAAATTTCCATTTATATATGTATATATAATGAAGAACGGTAACGGCTAACACACAGTCCATGACTTTGCCTTTTTCAGGGTTATTTCAGGCTACTTCCTACTTTACACTTTCATTAATTACAGAAAAATTAAGAAAAGACAGATGAATACGGACAAACAAAAAGCATCCACAATCCCAACTCTAAAATAAACTATTAACCTTGCATATGTCCCTCGCTTCTTCTTCGCCATCTAGATAGACAGATCCATCCATCCATCCATCCATCCATCCACTCAGCTTTAACAGGAAGAACTTCATACCAAGAGCTTTGAATCTAAAAATGCTATAAAATGCCTCTCTCAACCCTTCTCCAAATCCTCACTCTTCTCTCTAATCACACCAGTAGACAATCTTTTCATCTCAGGCAGAGTAAGAATGTAAATTGATTTTAAATTATGTATACAGATGCCGGTACCCATCATTTTAAAACAGAACTGCACAGGTGGCATCCCACACGTGAAGCATCAGGCAACTTCTAAGTAGCTGAGAAGCCCACCTGCTCCCGACACCCGGGGCTCAGCCAGAAAAGCAGAGTAATTAAGCAACCCACATACTCTTCCTCCATTTCCCTGGGATCTGAGGATACTAGCTGGTGGCACAGTTTACGGACACACTCAATAGACCAAGTCTTATTGGTTTATTCTTTATTAAGTTCCAAAATCTGCCTCAGTGATTCAAGAGTCTGTAAATGCCCAACCAAAGGGACTGCTTGCTGCCGCCATAGAAGAGTGATCTCTCATATCATTTTATGTCTATAAACCAGCCAAGTGTGACTCAGATGTGATACTGCCTGAAACCAAAAGAACCATATGGGAACCATGCGGTATTTAAACAGAGAAGTGGGGAGACATTGTGATCCACAGCAGAGCCAGCAGAGCCAGGCTGACCTGTGGCCACAGCCCAGCGTGACCACAGCAACG